GTCTTGAGAGGAAAGCTCCCATAGGTGCCAGCGGGAGAGTCTGTCCCAAGGCAAATATCATCTTCAGAGGAGAGATTTGTTTTGTCAGGATTTCAGCAGGGAGGAAATGGTTAAACCTATTCTGCCCACCCACTGCTAAGCACTGTAAAGGTAAAGGTACCGGTGACCATTAGGTCTGCCAGCACACACACACACACAGTGGTTGCTTGCTTACGTATGTATTTAAAATGTGCATACTAAATGCAAATGCAAATGCAAGTGCAAAGACACATTTGATGTCAAATCTAGTTTGGACCTATGGCAGAATTGCTTCTGAATGAATGCATGCATAGGATCTACTAGTTGCACATCTGCCAGCAGCTGCCTTTGGGACAGGGCTCTTTCTTCTCGCTCTCTCCATCTCTGCAAACAGACCATTCTGCGTGTTCCTTTATTAGTAGGATTATGTATGTCTATTGATATATGCACAGATGGAAGATGTTTCAGACTCTGTGGTCTCTGCAGAGACAATCAAGAAATTTGCTCTCCTACAGTTCAGAAATATCTCTTATGACAAGTGAGTTAAGCAAGGGCTGTTGGAGTTTGAGAGCCAATGAGTGGTATAATGCTTAGAGTGTTCAAATCCCCACTCAGCCACAAAGTTCACTGGGTGACCCTGGGCCAGTTGCTCACTCTCAACCCAACCTACCTCACAGGGCTGTTGTGAAGATAAAATGTGGAGAAAGACAACTGTGTGTTCTACCTTGAGATCTAGGGTGGAGCCTTCCTGGAAACACTGCAAGGGATTCTGGGAAAGCAAAATGGTTACATTCAGTGCTATTTTCTAGGAAAAAAAGGTGCTGGAACTCACCATAAACACCTCTCTTGTTCTCTTATAATAGATAGATAGATAGATAGATAGATAGATAGATAGATAGATAGATAGATTCTTTATTGTCATTACACAAGTGCAACATTGCACAAGTGCAACGAAATTGGATGCCATCCCTTAAAAACAACAAAAGCAAAACAACAACAACAACCAAACAAACCACCTTCCAGCCACACCCACACCCACACCCATCAAACTCCCAGGTCTCCCTATCGAGTTACAGCATTCAAAAAGGCCACAGCTTTTGGATAGAAACTGTTTTTCAGTCTATTTGTCCTTGACTTGATGTTTCTATACCTCCTGCCAGAAGGCAGTAGTGCAAACAGACTGTATCCCGGGTGAGATGGATCCTGCAGGATGTTATTTGCTTTCCTAAGGCAACGGGAACCGTACAGTTCTTCCAAAGGTGGGAGAGGGTGACCAATAATCCTTTGGGCTGTGGTTATGACCTTCTGGAGCACCTTCCTCTCCCTAGCTGTACAACTGGAGAACCAAGCACAAATACAGTATGTAAGTATGCTCTCTATGGCGCCTCGGTAGAAGGACACCAGCAGTCTCTCACTCAGATTGTTCTTTTTTAAAAGTCTGAGGAAATAAATTCTTTCTAAATAAATAATGGCAATGGTGCCCACCTGACAGGTGCCAGAACTGAGTTCTGAAGAGTTCTGGCTGATAAAAAAAAGTCGTGGTTACATTAAATCAAGAAATGAATTTACTAGCATAACTAGTTTGGTCCCAAAAGGTGTCACCTGGAAACACTGCAAAGGGATTTTGGGTCACACCCTTTAGGGCCAGAGTAGCCATGCTAAGTAAATCAATATTTTGATTTAATATAATCATTTCATTTTGATTTTAAATGCGAATAGTTCTTCCTGGAGAAGAGACAGTAATTGCTGGGATTACAGCAGAGAGGTGGTGGTGGTGGTGGTGGTAGTGTTAACCCTTTTCTGTCCTGGGTATGAAATCACTCATCCAAAGCTGCTATTTGCATTGGGAGGGAAGCTGCCACTAGCACGAATGGAAGGTTTCCTCCTAATACGAAGAGCAGTTTTGGAGAATTGGTTTTCATTAGGACCGCAGGATGGGAGGTCTCCCCAACCCCGCAACACCTGCTGCAATCTCAGTGATTGTCCCCACCCCAGGCAGATGCTATTTGCATATTTTTTTTTAAAAAAAAAGTGTCACTGAGTATCACATTTCATTTGACCCTTAGATCACACATTACAGCTCTTTGGGCCATCAGAATGACTTGGGTCAGCCCGGAAACCAAACATCTTTATATAAATAGAAGCTGCTTTCCTCCACCACTGCCCTTTCCCTGAAAAAAGAAAAAAAAAAAGGTTGCCACAGAGATTGCATTGCAATGCAATGAGATCTTCCATATTATGGGGGAATCACCAGAGACATGTGTTGTTCTCAAACCAATTACCTTGCAAAGCTTTCTCTAGATTCTGTTAAATCATCTTTCCTCGGAAGTTGTGTACAGCACCATATGCTCTCCGGGGTGTGTGGGTGTGTGTGTTGGGTGGTTCTCAGTGCTTATAACAGGCTTGTGTCAATGAAGCTAAAGTTAGAGGATTTGTTTCTTATAGACAGAACAATGCGAGGCACAAATATCCTTTGGGACAATGACTTATTGATGTGGTGAAAGTCTCAGCTTGCTTGCCCTGTGTAATGTCAAAATGTCCCTGGGAGTTGCTTTTGTAAACAGAAACACACCTTGACAGCCACTTAAAAGATTTCTCCACTGTCTAAGCATGAGCGCAAGCCCAGTAGCATAGGGGCACTCACAGAGCATCAACAAACACTAAAAGCTGTTGAAATTATGCATTGGCATCGATTTGTTTTGGGTCGTCGCAGGAGGAAACGGCAAGATATTTGATGGCATGAGTATCGGGAAGAAGTCTCCTCCACCTGATGCTCCCCCCACCCAATGGACTACAGCTCCCATCAGCCCCAGCCAGAAGAGACATAGTTCAATGGTGATGGGAGTTGCAATCCAGCAACATCGACCAAGGTAGCAGGTCGAGGAAATTTCTCTTGGAATGATACTTGTAAGTACGGAATGTGAGGCAGGCTGGAAAAATAATAATAAACACCCATTTTTAAATGCACATTTTAAAACTCAGGGCCACTACTAAGCAAGCTATTGCTGCGAGGGATGAGGATGCGGCTGGAAGCTACAGAGGAGGCAGCTCTGGCACTTTCCATTTTGCCTCAGGCGGCAAAATCTTCTGGGCCCACCTTGCTTATGTTTATGGAAAGTGAAGAAAGCCTTCTGTAACCAGACTGTGGGTGCAGGAGGAAAACTCATGCTTGTGGTGTTTACGTTTTGGGGTGGCTACTAACACTGTGAGAAAAATAATAATGACACAGATGCCATATCCGTCAGAACAACTCTCCACAATAGCTCTATATTCAGAGACAATATAGGGAAGCGGGTGGGCTGTGAGAATGCGGGTGGCGCTGTGGGTTAAACCACAGAGCCTAGGACTTGCCGATCAGAAGGTCAGCAGTTTGAATCCCCACAACTGGGTGAGCTCCCGTTGCTCGGTCCCTGCTCCTGCCAACCTAGCAGTTCGAAAGCACGTCAAAGTGCAAGTAGATAAATAGGTACCGCTCTGGCGGGAAGGCAAATGGCGTTTCTGTGCACTGCTCTGGATTGCGAGAAGCGGTTTAGTCATGCTGGCCACATGACCCGGAAGCTGTACGCCAGCTCCCTCGGCCAATAAAGCAAGATGAACGCTGCAACCCCAGAGTCGGCCACGACTGGACCTAATGGTCAGGGGTCCCTTTACCTTTACCAGAGACAATGTGCCATTACTTACCAGGTCCTGGCGACTAGCAACATGGACTGAGTACTGCTATCATATGGTTCATGATGGCAATTGCTTGACCATGGAGCAAGATGAGGGAGAGAAGGGAGGCTGGGCCACGGAATCAGCTCTGCTGAGAGAACAGCAACTTTTGTCTCTTCCTCTCCTTGAACAGTTTTCCATAGCAGCTGGCTGTTCCAATAACTAGCATAAGTAAGAACTGGTGCCTGAATTTTCTTCTTTTTTTCTTCATCCCTCTCAATCCCTTTTCCTTTTGTGCCATGTGCCTCTTAGTTTGTAAACCCAAGGTAAAGAGCTGTCTTATCACTGATCTTCCTTAGCTGCTATGAGAACCCTTTGTGGCTGAAAGGTAAGGTTAAAAAGGTTTCAAAGAAATATATACCGAGCTATAAGGATTGTGAATATTTGTGCATTCTTCAGAACCTTTGAGGGTATCTTTGGGGTAACTTTCAAGGACAAAGGTACTCCCTTCACCTTCAGAACACTCAATATCTGACAAGAGAGACACCTCCTTTGAAAGTGTCGTCCAGAAACACTCTCAAAGAGCAGGGGGAAAAGATCCACTGAACTTTATTTCATGCAAGGTAGGTCTGCTTATGTCGAACTCTGTTGTTTTGTTCTGAAATGCCAGCCATCATCAATATTTCAATAGAAGGAAACTGACAGGTTTACGTAAGTCAATATAGCACAAGAAGCTGTGGCAAGATTTACTTCCAATAAGAGGGAAGCCATGCCGTGTCACACAAGGGACAATTGCCCCCCATCATGCCCTGTTTGTGAGCTCCCAGGGAGTAGCTAGCTGACCACTAATGGAGACAATGAACTGGGCTCGATGGACTTTGGGCCAAAAGCAACAAGGCAGTGTGTCTATGCCTTTTAAGTCCTGGAGCTTGCTTTGCATAGAGAAGCCTTCCCCAACCAGGTGTTTTCCAGATGCTGCTCACTACATCTCCCATCAGCCTTGACCATTTGCCATGCTGCCTGGGGATGATGGGACTTGTAGTCCAAAACATCTGGAGGGCTGCAAGTCGAGGAAGACTGGCATAGGGATTTGGGTGCAGATATTGCTTAAGGACAAAGATGAACAACATCAGCACTGACTCACTGTCAACACAGCCAGATGGGTGGGGTATAAACAGACTATTTTCAGGCGGGGAAGACCTTATTAGCTCTTTTAGCATTTCAGTTCATGGTGGCAGAAAGTGAAGCCTGCCGTGCAAACATATTTTCGTACTTATCCCCTGTTCATTCATGGGAGGGAAAACATTTTCAGGAAACACATTAAGAAATCATTATGGACTAGAGCCTTAAGTTGTTTTATTAAAAGGTGTAAATTACAACCAAGTTAGTTATTTCAGGGCAGGTACAATCTGGGGACAGAGACCCACTCTTGCTGTTATAAAACGTAAAAAGTCTGTTTTACACATCATAAGACGGCCAGTCTGCGCAGCATATGGACAGACCATTCTGACATCATGGAACCTCGATAGAACACGTCCTGTGGGATTTCCATGTGGGTCATAAGTCCTGCCCTTAGCATGCAGAGTCAGGCCTTAAGAAGATTGGACCCCAAAGGAGGAAAGGGGTGAGGGTGGGGATTTGGGATGAATCTATACTTTCCAATATACAATAGTAAATCAGGTACTAAATGACATTACTGCCTTTTTATGGCAGACTTCTACGAATGTGGTTAAGGTTATACACTTTAAACACTAAAGTAAAAAATAAAAAAGAAGAATAAAGAGGGCGAATTGGTACGTTTATTTCTTCCTATTGTACAATTAAGCTATAAATAACTTCTGGATAAAACGCCTAGCTGTCAATGAAACTTGTTAACCGATTACATTCGAGGAAGTCCCTTTCCCGCGTAGCCCAGCACATCTTCACTATTCCAGTGTCTTCTCCTGTTTCTTGCCTTCTTTTTTCTTTTTCTTGGGCTCTGTTGACACAAGAAAAAATTGCAGTGTTACAAGAGCATCAGAAACAACTCCACAAGGTGCCATAGCTGGACAATTGCTAGGGCCCCAGGATTAGTTAAGGAATCACTGCCCTAACAGTGGTCCCATTGCTCACAAAAGCATCCCAGAAGATCAGATGCAGCCTAAGAGAATGCTCACTTTGCATGCCTTGTTTCCTCCAGGTTCGGGGGACATCTGCGAGTGCCTCCCAAATCCTGGTGCCAGAAATGATCAGAAACACAGCCAAAGTCAAAGAAAGAAGAAAGGTTTCTTCCCAAACATCTAGAGTGGCCCCGATCCTACCTGAATTGAACTGAAAGCCTTGCAGAGTCTTCAGTTTGGGTTGGGAGGAGGCAGGAGAAAGCTCCGACCCTGGTAAAGTCTAGGGCTGCCTCAGCCAGCTCCAGCAAAACCCCAGTTGACTCATATTAGCCTGAGGAGTTGCAGGATCCAGGAGTCATCCAGAGCCAGTGCATAGCCCTGCTGGTTATTAAAGCACACCTTCTTTTACTAGTGGTATGTTTCACTCTGACAACCAAAACAGAGTTGATTTCAGGCTACGAAAATGTAATAGTTACACTCACTGAGAGCAGTCCTGGGTCAAACTTTGTAATATGTAAAAGCTCTTCCTGTAATATGTAAAAGCATTTTTATTTTTTATTTTTGTGGGAGGGACGTTTTGGGAGGGGGAATCTCTGCTCCTCTGAGCATTTTTATGGGAATGGAGTGATTTTTACAGGGATGTCCAATGCTTACCAGAAATAAATGTCTTCAAACCTCCACTGAGCTGATCCTACCATTTTATATTTTTCAGAATGTCTGCTAACCCAGAAATAGTACCTCAGGTTAAGAACTTTGCTTCAGGATGAGAACAGAAATTGCACGGCGGCGGCGGCAGGAGGCCCCATTAGCTAAAATGGTACCTCAGGTTAAGAACGGACCTCCAGAACGAATTAAGTTCTTAACGCGAGGTACCACTGTAGATATTAGGATGCAGGGGCAATGATCACAAGTGAAAAGGGGGGAAAGAAAAAATGGCAGCTGCCAGCCTGATGAGTTTTATCCTACCCCCAAATCACTAGAGAAAAATTTGTCCCTACTTTTGTGGCTTGCAGATGAGGCAATGAAATGGAGGGAGATTTGGATAGAAGATCCTGCTTTCTAGGTTTCTCCACAAGTTGCTGTTCTGAGCATATCTTCTTAGAAAACAGGAACCCATAAGGTGGCCCATACCCTCCAAGTGCCATCATGGCTTCTCTCTTAGTCACAGAGAGCCAGCCATTGGGGGGGGGGTAGAGGCATTGGGAAAGAGGAAGGAAGGCTTCTTCCTGAAGCCTAGTTAGTGCTTACTAGGCTTTGGGAAGAAGATGGGTGGACTGTAGGACCCTGTCAGAGCCCTCACGCCTCCTTCCTGCTTTTCACTTTCATTGCCAGGCACATGGTGGAATTAAGCGGAGAGCTCTACCCACTGAGCTTCCTCCCCGGAGGGCTCCTCTCAGCCAGGGAAGGAACGGCAGTTGCCCAGTTATGCCTGTGTTTCTCGCTGCCTCCTTCAATCCCTTCACCAGGCAAGGCAGCCAGCCTTTGTTGACTTCACTCTGTTTCTCCATGCCAGTTAATTCCATTGAACGAGGCAGAGCTTACTTCCAAGTAGACGTGTTTAAGATGGAAAGCAAGAGTAAGTTATTCATAGGACAGGGTTGTGCAGGGCTAGGTTTCTTAGGGGAGCTGAAGTAGTTGCTCTCGCTGAGCTCAATGAAATTGAGTAAATATGCGAAGTAAATAAGCGAAGAGTCCTACTGCACACAAACACTGACCTGGGATCAAGCGAGACTTACTTCTGAGCAACCTTATACAGAGGGCGAAGCTCCAGGAGGCAATCTTCCGCATACATGTCATGAAAGTAAACGTTCCTAAACAATAATGAGACCTGATGTCATGGACTGATTGGACACAGAGGAATGGTGGGAGGCACCAGCTGGGGAACCACCAAGGGATGAAGGTTCAGAGCCTGGGGAGTGGTGGCGAGACAACGATAAATGGTCAGAGGCAGAAGTCTGAGAGGAGGAGCTGTCAGAAGCTGAAGAGGTAACAGGGTTTGTTGAGAAGGGAGTGTCTGGCAGAGAGAAGTCCAGAATCAGAAGCTGCAGCAGGAGAGGACGGAGGCCAAGAGATGGAGATGAGTCAGGCTGGTGAAGAAGCCAGGGTGTATCCCTCTCCTGCTGTGGCCAGCTCCCCTCCTACCTGGTCTCCCAGCACCAGAAGAGGTATGAAGAGTGAGGAGCAGAGACAGGTGTGTCAGTGCAGTCTCAGATTGCTTGGGAAAGACCCAGAGAAGGAGATTATTTAGGCAGCTATTGTAAGGTGGGGATCTTCAGCCTCCACAACTCTCTCATAGGGAGAGAAGATTTGCTGTGCTCCAATCGTATGCAGAGTACTTTCTCTCTGCTAGAGGTAAAGAAAAGCCAGGACTCCAGTCCCAAAGCCTTTTCTCTCTCAACTCAAATCCAGATGGTTCTCCAAAGCAGCCTCTGTGATTTTATCTCCTCCTCCTCTTCCTCCAAATCCTTGTACGGAGGTTGTTTCTATTTCCACATCACAATCTGCTTCCTTCAATTTAGTGATTCCGTGATCCAGTCCTCCCAACTTTTCATCAATTTGGTCTGAAGCTTCCGAGTATTCCTCATTTCCACCTCATATTCATCTTCTTCATCCTCTGGCTCGTTTGTTCATCTTGACCCAACATTGATCTGAACATTTTCAGTTGTTCAGTCATCATCAACAGTTTAACAATACCAATGGTCACTTAGTGATCCAAAAGTACCTTTGTCATACTGGATGCTTTTAATGTTCAGGATATCATTAGGCACCCAGTCCACCTTAATTCCGGCCCCCTTAAAATCACAGCTACAATTGCACATTCCTTTCTCATGGCTAATGATGGGCAAAAGGGGTGCCCAACCCTTTAAAGCAGTGATACTGATGTAGGATAGGATGCGCCTATTTTCAGCTGAGGAATGTTGGAGGGCATGCCATCCCACACTGCTTCCTCCACAGACGTGTGCTGGCAACGGTGCCAATTTCTGGTGAGATCTCAGGATATCTTGCTGAAATCTCATGAGACCTCACTGGAACCTGCCACCACCACAGAATCCAGGTAAGGGAGGCTTCTGCAGGAGGTGGCAGCAGAGTAGGGTGGCACTTTCCCGTTTCACCTCAGGCAGCGTAATGGGATGAGCCGCCCCTGCAAGAAAGCAATAATCTACTCCATAGGTAGCCACGGTGATGGACCATGGATGTTGTGGACTATTACTCCCATCATCCTTTTCCATTGGGCATGCTGACTGAGGCTGATGGGATATGTAGTCCACAGCATACCTGGAGCACCACAGTGGTCTACTCTCAATGCATATATTCAATGCCACTTTATACACACCTAATACACAGGAGGATGTTTCTTAAAATAAAAATTCAAAAAGAATATTCAGGGGCTCAGAAGCAAGGGAGGAGTGATGAGGAATAGTCTCTGGTTGAGGCAGAGGCGTTCTGATCACAAGTGCCAGCTCTACTTGGCATGCGAGGTATTGTCTCAGGGTCTAGCTTAGAACAAACTGAAAATAGCAGGCAGCTCCTGGAGAAACCAGGTCACGGCTCAGTGGAAAGCAAGAGAAAGGTTTTTACACATACATCTATAAACACAGAGACACCAAGACACCTCCCAGCTTTCCCTCCTTATTTACTGTGGAAACTGGGTTTACATCCCTGAAAAACTTATTTGACCCTGCTTCCCACCCCCAGTCCCCTTTCTCTGCCCCACATGCTGGCTGTATTTCCCCCCTGTCTGCTAAGGGTATAGATTTTTCTTTCTTCCAGAAGAGAGGCAAAGACAGAGAGATGGCAGATGATGGAGGCCAAGCTACCGAGAGATTTATTGAGGCAAGCCGATCCAAACATGTTATAGGATCATAGAATTGTAGCATTGTAGAGTTGGAATTTCATTACTTATATTTAGAAACATTCATAGTAGTTGTTTTTAAATAATCTGTTGATATTATCTCATTTTGATTTTATAGGGCCTGCTATTTTTAAGTACTATTTTTATTGCTATTTTTAATGCATTTATACCTACTTTTGTGTAAACAACTTAGTTATTAAGCAGTATATAAACCTTGTTAAATAAATAAATTACATAATTTGGAAAATCATATCACGGGCAGTGGCAGGACTACACTGAGTGATCTGAAATTAGGACTAGTTCTAACACTGGGCAAACTGAGTTTCTAACTCTCCGCCCACCTACTGCTTCCCAGGAAGTTCCTCTCTCCCAGGACCAAATTAGAAAACTTGTGGCCAAATTAGACAACTGCATGATTTTTTTGCTCAATTTTACACCATAACTAGGGGTTCTAGTTAAACTTTAAAAACTTATGCAAGATGGAAGCCATCTATCTCTGGTTTAGGACACAATCCACCATCCCATGATTTTCTCTTGATCAGCCACAGACCAATCTAATTAGCATCCATTTCAGTTTTGGAAGAATGCTGTTCCAGTCTAGGCTACACAGTTGCCATGGACTGGCTGGATGCAGAGAGTGGTGGGAGGCACCAACTGGGGAACCCCCCCAAAGGAACCCCCCCCAGGGGAAGAAGGCTCAGAGCCAGGGGATTGGTGGTGGGACAATGATAAGTGGTCAGAGGGAGAAGAGGGAGCAGACTGGGAGGAGGAGGAAGGTGTCGGGAGCAGAAGAGGCAACAGGGTTTAGTGAGCAGGAAGAGACTGGGGCAGAGAGCAGTCCAGACTCAGAGGCAGAGGGAGACCAAGAGGCAGAGATGAGACAGGCTGGTGAAGAAGCCAGGGAGTCTCCCCCTCCTGCTGTAACCAGCTCCCCTTCCTCCTGGTCTCCCAGAACACAGAGAGAAATGAAGATGGAAGTGAAAAGAAAGACAAAATGAAGGAATGCTAGGTTTCTGGGGAAGGAAC